AAAAGCTGTGGAAAAGCTGCTATTTCTGAATAGAAACAAATGAAAACTTCTCCCTAGTGTCATAAGCACTGTTATAAAGTCACAAGCACATTCACATCACAACCCCCTCCCCTTTGTTTCCATGTACATTCCTGTGTTAAGCTGCCAATGTATTATACACAAACATTAATATAATATTAAATATAACTAATATTTAGAGTTTAGTTATTTGTGTCATGAACAACAGTAATTTCTCTATTTATTCAACTTGAGGCCCCACACACTAGTTTGTGTCATTATCCAGATGTACATAAGCATGAGTACACAGTTACACAATCATCCCAAAACTCTGTCCTGATAGTTTCCAGTTTCTCTTTTGTATCAGACATCTTGAGACAATATCCGGGCTAAATAACCATAACAACAATTTATTTATTCAGTTTATAGGTTTACACATCACATCATCAGAACATTAATCATAATACAGAAATATACCAAAATGATGATCGAAGTGATGGGGAGGGCTGTGAGTACTAGGACTGTGCTCATTGAACACAATATGGATAAGGTCTTGGAGAAGCTCACGGCTCTTTAATGGAAAATTCACTGGGATGCAGCACTCAAAACAAGAGGACCTAATCCTTCCTGCTTGTTTCTGGTTGAGGGGCTTAAGTCACTGTAGATTTTGCAAAGATGCAGATGAGGCTTAGACACACGAGCTGATGTGCATTCAAAGCTGTCCCCAAGCAGCTTCCAGTGTGTTTTTGTATGAGTGTAGCTTACTAGTAAAGTGAGATACAAATGCACAGGGATAAAGAGCATAGCATTGTTGAGAAACAAAGAAAAATCAAAAAAGAGAAAATCCACATTTCCATGTTTCATCGACATCTCCCAAAGAAAGTGGAACACATTATTGGAACACCCTTTCGTGCATGAAAGCTCGAGGGTGGATAATTTTAAAAGGTGGTTATTTTCTATGAAAAGGTGCTTGCTCTGGGGACATTTTTTAAAGGTAAGTTTCATTGTATTGCTTATTTTTTTCTTTCTTTAA